TGTGTGTGTATGTGTTACGATATAACGAGGTCATATTCAGAAACCAATGAAACCGAAACCAAATGTTGAAAAATGTTGAAGTGAAGTAAACAGAAGAGAATGACAAAATAACAATCCACATAACAGAACATAAACCTGACAATAAGATTGTTAGGCTATTGTTAGCCTATATGTATAACAGTTCGTTCTGATCCTCGAATCCGACTGGACAAGAGACTTTCTATTGATATTTCCACCTGCGCGCGTTCTAGACGGGCTGTCAGTCAGTGCAGTTACAGTGTTGCGCCACAAGGTGGTGGAAAGGGACTATCTTTGAGCGAGTCTTTAAAGCGTTCATTAAACTACACGGTCAAAAACGCTGATTCATTCAAAGAGAGACAAAATGAAAAACGCTGTTGAAATCATTTTAACTTTGAGCGCCACGTTAGAAGGCTCAGCTGACCAATGCGTCGATGCTAAGACAGAGATTTGGCTTTCCTTGGACATGACAACCTATTTTCACAAATATATATGACTCACAAGTAATTGCACATGCTCAGTTTATCTCTCTCTCATTCGTTGTCTGTTTAGGCTTGTTAGTGCAAATCTACGGAGCCTCAGTACAAATCAGCATGGTACTCATTATGTTATTACTAACTTATTTAATATTCAGTACACATGCACGAAGTGTAAAACGAGAAGGGCATAACCCTATGAAAAAAGAAAACACGCAAAAATCGCGGTTGCTGCGATTACAAAACATTATACTCACTTCTGTAGATGAGGCTGGATCATGAATGATTCGCGCGAACGGGGGAGATCGGGGGAGCAGTCCCTTCAAAAACAAATGTAATCCGCTGCGAGTTCAGCAGTTCAGATGTCGGGAGTAAATGACGTCACACAGACAGGCATCTGAGATCGGCTCGATTTCAGACTCTGGCTCCAAACGAATCTCTACGGCGCAGACTTGGGCTCCAAATGACATCATTTACTCAAGATGGCAGCGGCCATACTGAGATGCTTTGGCTTCCCTTTATCTAAAGTGGAAGGAATAGGAGACGAGTCATCCATCTTTTTTTACAGTCTATGGTAGCATCCTATGACCCCTTTAAGTAATTAGATATATAATGTATATAATAACCTGGGTACATAGGCATGCAATTACCAACACCTTATTATAGAATAAAAGTATTTTTATGAAATTTTTACTGTCATATGCATGACAGTCCACATTCATTTTCATTATGTGAAAAACAAGAGTGGTCTGGATATTCTTTAAAAAAAAAAATATATATATATATAACAATAAAAAAATAATAAAGAGAAGGTTTGAAACATGACCGTAACAATTTGGGGAACAGGTCCTTTGAAATCTGCTCTTTAGCAGGAGGAAGTGACCTTTGGATTTCAACCTTTCTAAATCCATCTCATTAATATTAATGAAGGCAAAAAAAAAACAAAACACTGAGGCCTTTCTACTATGATTTGAATAACTGCCCTTTCAACATAGGATTTTTTTCTCCTTCAAATATCATGTAACCATTCTAGGATTGGTTACAAGTGACTGAGCTGTATGTGTTTACTAGTAAATAAGTGTATAATTTCATGCTACCCAGGAGTTCATAACAGCCCAAAAAATGAGTGTCTGCCACCAAAACCCCATTTCAGTAATTTACAGACCAGTCCCACATTCAGATGTTATTAAACACTCACGAAACCATGACAACATAACAGTCCCAGAATGATGCTGATGGAGAACAGCACTGCTGATCCAATCAGGACTGGCAATGAGACAATGCGTCTCAAACTGGGACTAGTCCATTATGCACCATCCAATGCATTTTACAATGCATCTTGCACACATGCTTTAAGATGATTAACAAATCATGATGGACCTCCAAGACACGTTTTATCTCAAGCAGGGGCCTCAAGTGGCTCTTATTTGGACAGCTGGGAAGCAGACCATCGCATTCAGATTCAAAAACACAATGCACCCATTCTTAGACATGCAGAAGGATGAAAGAAGCAGATGGGTGGTTAAGAACAAGCTATAAAATTGGCACAATAATACATAAGACATAACAGTACCTATGTGTTCTGTAGATGATCAGCCCTTGGTGTCCAAATGCTTTAAAGTTGAGATGTTTTAGACTTGTCCACTTAGTCCATGTGTGGGTCAAACCCACTAGATTGTATCAACAGAAGATAACGTTATACAAGTGGTCATTTACACATTCAGCAAAATAGATCTTCCGGAGAGCATTCCTTTAACATCAATGCAGACAAAAGATGATCGGCTCGTCCGTGCGTACAAATATAGCCCCAAAAACCGTAAAGACAGCGGCGACTTCAATTTTAAAAACACAACGCGCGAGGAAACAAGCGGTTCGGCTTAAAAAACACAACTGTTGCAGCGTTTCACAGACCGGAGAAGTCGCTAAACAGTAAGCCGCCTGAAGTGAGCAGTTTTTAAGCGTTACGGAAGCGCAGCACACCCAGGGGCTACAGCTGTCTTTTACACACACACACACACACACACACATACAGGCCCTTGAAAAGGAAACGCACTTCTTCAGACAGCCCAGTGCGTAGTGCGCATGCGTCTCACCGGTGCGCGAATGTATTAATTCTACTACGGCGAAGGCTTGGCTTATGAATATTAATTAGGTGACGAGACGTGATTTGTTGAACGCAATACGTTGGTAGGTTGCTGGCCAATGTCTGTTATAATGACGTCTCGTTAATATGGATGAGATTGCGTAAATGGGCTCTCCAGGAAGGTTACCAAGCAACCTAATTAATATTTATGAGCAGCCTTTTCCGTGGTAGGATTCGTAATTTCGCATTTGGAGACAGGAACGACAGTACGCGCTTTTAAAGGGAATTGCAACGATAAAAACATTCACACATTAAATTAAATAATAATCAAGAAAAATGTATGTTCGTATTGTATTTTTATGGAATTTTGTCAAGTGGAAAGAGATTCAATTAACTGTAAATAAAACAACAACAGTCATAAAGTTATGTTTCCATTCTCTTTATTTATTCAGTCCTTACACTTCAAAGTTGCCAATGTTAAGCATGTAAGGTTTCCAGTGATATCAGAACTATGAGATATGTCACTAATTCACAATTAATGGTAACAATGTTGTTGTCTAAACCAGTATTGAATCGTGTTTCACCTTATACAACAGGTGCAGAGATAAATTATAAAATTATGCAATGCTAATAACCTTTATCTCATGCTTTTGTAAAGAAAAAGGCGCAAGAATGGAAACCTGTGGAAAGAAACCAAAAAGTAGCTTTCAACTTTTGATACTGAACAAATCCCCCTCAAACCTTCAGAGGCATGTTTGATTACATCACCGTGGGGGGGCCACACAAATGAACGTCACCAGATAACAACAAAACTTTTTCACAATTTTTTTTAAATTGCTCAACAAGAGTTTGGTCAGATTTTAGAAGCAAACTCCTACAGAGGAATGATTTATATCAAACTGCATTTTACCATACATGCAAGCACATGTAGTGCTTCGGTATCAAACAATATTCAACTGAATATTACGACTGGGCTCTGTAGCTATTCTCAATTAGAACCAATTTGTTTTGTTTTTTGCAAACCAAATGGAAAAAAAAATTGTACAGCAGTAATATTTTTAATCTCAAGTAACAAGTCGTAAAATCCAGCAAGTGATTTTAGCACCATTTTTAAGCTCTTTTAGTGCTGTATTTGCTGTATTATTAGACATAAATGTTCTCCTATCTGTATTTATACACTATAAGATAGACCTTTGCTATTCTTTGACAGTGCAGTCTCATTAGCATCATTAACTTAGTAATGCTTTTAATAACGGCCTCCCATTCAATCTTTGTTTTTAAACTCAAAAGCTAATTTCAAGGAGCCAAATGGCTCTCCAGAGGCTTCACCAATGACCTTACAGACACAAACATCAACAGTGAAAAGAAAAGGGGAAAAAAAGCCAAGAATTCACATTTTATAATTTCCCCATGACTGAGAAAAGGTGATGTGTAAGGTCTGTTGGTTTCTAGTTTATCTAAACACTTGTGACAAGAAAAATTAAACATCTGGGGCGGTCAACTTCAGTGAGGTCAGCCCTAGATTGCTAGATAGCTTAACTAACGTAAAAAAAAAAAAAAAAAAAGCGCTTAAATCAAATTCAGAAGACGTCACAATAGAGCTTAAATGAAAAAACAATTAGTAAAAAAGTAAATTAGTCTGATGAAAGCAGTACATTATTTCCTGGTGTCAGTTTAAGTTCATTATTGTTGCATATGGATCTTTTATAGAGGATTTGCGTGTCACAAGTGCCTCTCATTTTAACTGTGAAGGCATACGGTAATCTGCAGATTCAAACAAATATTTCAACTGTCCTTATCAGTGCTTTTGAAAAACTCATTCATTACCCAAAAGAACTGAGTGTGCAGCACACACTGACCTTTTGCTTTGTAATGGGTTTGTGCGCATAATAATACAACCTGTAAGAAAATCACGAATCGATTTATTGCAGGTTTATTGCAACACATGGAGCATCTTTCTTAATAAAAGATCCTTGTTTGATCTAACCAAACAAGCCATGCTGACTCAATATGAAACCCATTTGAAACAGGATTTCATAAGCTGCTTATTTTTGAGCACTGAGAACTGAAACTAATGGAAATGCAGTAAAGCACAGCAATGAATTTTAGCGTAAGAAAACTGGTGGTATTGGCCAACGACTGCTTAAAATGGTCAGTATTGGTCCAATAGCAACCAATATCACAAACTAGTTTTTTTAGTACACTTATCTTACCATTCAAGAGTGCAACAATTTATCACTGATAAGATCCCAGTCAATCTGTCATATTTCTGGGCTTGGTCAACAAAGCAAATAACACTTTGCAAGTAATTTTGCATGCAATAAACTGCCATAATCTCAGTGCCTTAACACTGACTTTGATCAATCTGGCACAATAAGGAAAAAAAGGGGGGAAAAAGATGAAACCCCCATCTAATGCACATTTTCTATGGGAAAAATTAAAGTCAGCATATGCGATTATGAACTAAAAGCGAATTCTTCCATTTGAGATTAAATAAGATTCAAAAATGCCGTAAGACCAATCAAGTCGCATTAAGTGTAAGCCAGTTGCTATTTTTGTGGCATAACTGCACATTTAATGGGTTATGAAAGTTGCCTCACCCCCAAAAGAATCAGCCTTGTGTATTAAAACGGCTGTTTGAAAGATTATTGTAAGACTGCTAGAATGCATCAGATGGCGAGTATACTGATGTTGGTTCTGCTTTTAACATATCAGGTTTGTCACAAGAGCTGGTATCATTTCCGTCACTTCCCTTTGATGGGAATCATCACAGAAGTATAGAAGAACTTGAGAGAAATACAGACTGAGAAGTTCCAGTTCTGCTGCAACATTCAAACCGAGGTCCATTCATTCTTAAAATCTTTAAGGCAGGTTCAGTGAGCCTTGACCGTGAAAGTCAACGGCTTATTCGGAGTGCAGCGGGATGACGAATTTACATCCGAAGGGGGAGTGGTATTTGATCCCCACTTCCTGGAACACCTGTCGGGGAATGCCAATGTCACACAGGTAGACTCGGCCGGCGCCGTCGGACAGAGGCAGCGGGAGGCCCAGGGAAAGTGACCATTTTGCTTCCACGGCATGTGCCTGTCCACTTACTGGAGGGTCGATGCTTAGTACCGGGGCTCGGTTCTGGTTGGCCCAGTCGGCGGCAGCCTTGTACCAGGGCTGCTCCCTCAAGAATCCGTTTTCATGCGAATCCAGGCAGTTTATGACCAGGTCAACTGGCGTCTCGGGCAAGTCTGAGGGTGAAATTTCATTTTGCGGATAAGACTAATGCAGTTTAATTTTTAACACAGATGCCATTTATGTATCATACACCTCCACTGGCTTTCAGAAGTGTTCTGGTATATTACGTGAGGAGGGTGGGTGGGTACAAAGTTAAACATGTTTTTGCAATTCAGGGTGGAAGTTTCCAGGACTTTCGAAGCCCATCTAAACAAAGCATTCAGGTGGGTGTGTTAGGAAGATATGTGACAAACAGAAACCATGCAACCATGGGGTGGGGGGGGGAATCAACTGGATTAGTGATCCAATCACAAGTGGTCAGGTTGACTAGGGGTGTGCAATATTAAAATTCTAGATAATAGGATAAGCTGATTATTATTTTCATTTTATAGCTGATAACTGTTAAATAAACAATATTAAAATTGTATACTCTTTTGTCTTAAAAAATTACAAATAACACTAGCATTTAAAATCAATCAATTTATATATAATATTACACTGAAGATTACATTTTTTGTATTTTTAAAGATTAACTTTTTTAACTTATTTGTAATTAAAATTACAAACAACACTAGCATTTAAAATTAATCAATTTATATATAATATTACACTGAAGATTAAATTTTTTGTATTTTTAAAGATTAACTTTTGAATTAAATATTTTTATATTTTTATATTTGATTACTTCATACAATGCTACATGCATTGTATGAAGTAATCAAATATACAAAAACACTGCATATTCTTCACTGTGTAAATTAAATATTTCTTCTTATTAAAGTTACAAAAGTGATTTAGCCCAGATCCAATATACTGTTACACATGTGTTAAGCTTAAAATGCGTCCAAACGAGACGAGTCAAAAATCTCTATTAGTTGACAAATCTCTACTGGTTAATTGTGTCTACCAATATATCGCCCACCCCTAATAGTTATAAATGTCAAAATGTATACGGTTGTATCATGAATGATTATTAAATATTGATGCAATAGTGTCACACCTTTCACATTAGAAACCAGTTTGCCTCCCGTCTTCCCAAAAAGTGCAAGTTCACTGGTGATGGCCTCCAACATCTTAACGAAGTTTGGCAGGAAAAGGATGACCTCCACTTCATGGTTGGCCAAGTGTCGGCCACAGCTGATGCCCTGAGCGCCCTGGACATGTGGTCCACACAGCAGGGCCACCGTGGGCCGCTGATGTACATTCTTTGGGGTAAGTCTACGAGAAGAACCAGACCAATGACAACCAGACGTGCTGAAGGTATTTTTGATTATGCAATTTCTGTTAAAGCCCCACAAACCTGTTCGGGCCTCCAAGTAGCGTGAGGGCCATCTGACTTGCACATATGCCCGTCATCTCAAGCCTGCGCTCCAGAGAGAGACCATGACTTTCTGCCGCAGCTAATAAACGCTTGTGCAACTCGAAAGAGATGCTGGGTACCACCAGCCCTGAGTCTGGGAGAAACGGCATAAATTAAGGCAAAAATAAGAGAAATTATTAAAAATATCACGAGGTCAGATTCTTACCAGTGCTATATTCTTTTGTTCCATTCTGTGGAACCATGATCTGTCTGTAGACGACGGGTTTGGCCTCTAAGATGTTCTCGTCATGCCGGTATCGTGATGGCGTTTGCTCTCCAGGCGTTCCTCGAGATCTCGCGCCATTGCCTCGGCGTTCTGACGAATCGATCTGCGAGAACACCGCAGCCTTGTCGAACAGCGCCAGGTTCCCCTCAAAATCAAAGTCCTCATCGGGAACATCGTCCATACCGTCTCCAAAACATTCGTCGTCTTTGTTCTTCATATGACCTCCGTTCTTCAACCCATTCTTTTTGGGTGTGGCCTGATTTGGACCTCTGCAACTAGACGACCCTACAAACAGTTAAAAAGGGCATTAGTTAATAAAATCTCTTTCCACTTTTCATAGACCACATTCCTGCTGTTTTTATCCAATTTAACATGACTATAAAATAATAATCACGATTTTATTGTGAGTTTTATGAAACAGAAACATTACACAAAATAAGATTGTAATACTACTTTAAAACTAAACACTGTAAAAAATTAATTTAAATGTAATATCTTTTTTTAATTAATATTAATAATATTTATGCGTTTCTTTGATGGTTTGTCATCAAAACCAATAAAGCATTTAACTAAACCATGTAAAATGAAATGATTTTATTTTAAAAACCTTTTTTTTGTTTTTTTGTTTTACAGTGGATTGTTTTAAGAGTAACATTTAATTTTTTTATATTCTTATAAATAATAATAAAAATAATAAGCATTGTTATTATTTTAAGTATTATTAATAAGTAATCAAATTTATATTTAATAACCACATTTGAGCCAAATTGCGGAACTCTACAAACAAGCACAGCAAACCTTTTTATTTTTTTTGTAATTGCATTTTAAATTGCAATTTCCCAAATACACCTAAATAATAATATATATAGAAAACATACAGTGGGTAAAATAAGTATTGAACATGTCACCATTTTTCTCAGTAAATGTATTTCTAAAGGTGCTGTTGACATGAAATTTTCACCAGATGTCGTTAACAACCCAAGTAATCCATACATACAAGAAAACAATACAAATAAGTTCAGAAATTAATTTATGTGTAATAAAATGGAATGGCACAGAGAAAAAGTATTGAACACGCTTACTGAAATGTATTTAATACTTTGTACAAAAGCCTTTGTTGTTAATAACAGCTTCAAGACGCCTCCTGTATGGAGAAACTAGTCGCATGAATTGCTCAGGTGTGATTTTGGCCCATTCTTCCACACAAACAGTCTTCAAATCTTGAAGGTTCTGTGGGCCTCTTCAATGATCTCTAACCTTTAGTTCTTATTTTCTATTGGATTCAAGTCAGGTGATTGGTTGGGCCATTCTAGCAGCTTTATTTTCTTTCTCTGAAACCAACTGAGAGTTTCCTTGGCTGTGTTTGGGATCTTTGTCTTGCTGAAATGTCCAGCCTTGTTTCATCTTCATCATTCTGGTACTGTAGGTGTTGGGACTAAACCAGCTAATATTAATTTCCCCTGACAAAGGGCAGGATTGCTTTCTAATTACTGATAGATTTCAGCTGGTGTCTTGGCTTTTCATGTCTTTTTGCACCCCCCTTTCTTCATGTGTTCAATACTTTTTCCCTGTGTCATTCTACTTTATTACACAGAACTTAATTTCTGAACTTATTTGTTTTGTTTTCTTTGTATGGATGGATTACTTGGGTTGTTACTGACATCTGGTGAAAATTTCATGTCAACAGCACCTTTAGAAATATATTTACTGAGAAAAATGGTGACGTGTTCAATAATTATGTTACCCGCTGTATATATAAAAGTTATAATCTGAAAGATTAGGTTCAATATCCAGTGACACAGAAGACTCACAGGAGTTGTGTCTTCGTCTAAAGCCTTTACTTTGGACAGCCATGTCCATGTGACGTTCACCGTAACTTTTTGAGTAGTGTGGCACTGGAGACATCCCTCCTTCCTGCGTTTTGGGTTCAGTTTTATTAGGTACCATCACAGGAGTGCTATTGACCGGGGCGCCACCACCACCACCCTTATCCTTGCGTCCGCCATGCGGAGTCAATGTGGAGTTGGTGTCTGGACCATTCTGCTTTGGGACTTCAGTGGAGCTCTTACGGATCTCCAGGATTTTGAGATCTTTAATGTCCATGGCACTGTGTATTAGAAAAGAAGATTGTTATGGTATAGTAAACAATAGTATTTGGTCTCGAAATTCTGAGTATTCTGTATTATATTGTTGTATCAAGACTGTTTAACAACATAATATTTTGACTTTAGAGTACATAAGTGGACTTTATACAACAACAATGTAGAATATGACCAATGAGACAAAATGGTCTGTCTTAAAATCATTCATAAAGGATCAAAAACAGACACCACAATGATAAACAGTGACCCTTCAAGGATCTTCATTTTATTATTTACCTAAAGGTGACCTCAGGCACAGTGCACTTGACTCCATTGTGGAAGGGATGTCTGAGAGAGATGGTCTGGCTGGTCTGATCTACTGAAGATACTTCTCCTTGATACACTCCTAAAGTTGGTCCACAGTGGATAGAAACAAGACAGCCAATCCAGTCTGCAGCCATTCTGACCAGCTGAAATGAGATAAAACATTTCTTTATGACACTTTTATATTGAAACATAACTTAAAAAAGTTATTTGTGAGGGAAAACATTAATATGTGGAAAATTACGGCGAGATAAATCGAGAATTAAACGTTAGATGGGAAGATGCTAATGTTAGCCAGCTCGATGTAACGTTACAGGACGCAACGGCTTTTTAACCTACTTTTTTCGTCGTCGGTCAAATAAAACTTGTAAAATGAGTTCCTCACCTCTTATCAAAAGTAAATACGTTAAATAACACAAATAACTGGTAAACTGTGATATATTGTTAATTAACTCTTCTGAAGAGCTCGAATGCGTGAAAGGCTTCTTCTATTATTTATGATTCACTGAGCGAGTATCAGTTTTGAATGTTTACTGCCACTTACTGGATTACCGCGGAAGTACATTGAGTTGCAGGCAGAGGTGTAAAATTAAAAATCTTAAATTAAGCAATTATTAATATTAATGCATATTTTTATATTTTCATTAATATTTTTTATAATGTGTAATTATGAAATGTTTATTATTTTAGAATTTTATATAATTACAATATTATTAATTGCAATCAATATCTGCAATATTGTATCGATTTAATATTCATTTATTATTAAATAATATTAATATAATATTTAATAATATTATTATTAAATTATCCAATATTCACTACCGGGAGCTTTTGTTTACATTTTTTAATGGAAATACACTTTTAATCTGCATATATATATATATGTGACCCTGGACCACAAAACCAGTCTTAAGTCGCTGGGGTATATTTGCAGCAATAGCCAACTATACATTGGATGGGTCAAAATTATACATTTTTCTTTTACGCCAAAAATGATTAGGATGTTAAGTAAAGATCATGTTCCATGGAGATATTTTGTAAATTTCTTAAAATAAATATATCAAAACTTAATTTTTGATTAGTAATATGCATTTCTAGGAACTTCATTTGGACAACTTTAAAGGTGATTTTCTCAATATTTAGATTTTTTTGCACCCTCAGATTCCAGATTTTCA